CGAAGGGCGCGAGGACGGAGCGGCCTGGGCGCGCGCGCCCCCTGCCGGCTGGGCGGGCCAGGCTCCCGCCCTAAGCCCACGGATGGCCCCTAATGCAGAGGGGACTTGGAGGTTTTGGGAGACAAGACCCGGCCTCGGCGTGTAACGGCTAACCGGGCTCTTCCATCTCCTAAAGGCTTACAGAAAGTGGACCCAGGATAGGGAAGATGTCTTGAACTAATCGACCAGGCTGGAGTCAAGGATAAAAACACCCTGACTCTGGACACAGTACCAAGAACTGAGCCTGCTGGGCGTGGTGGCGCATGCCTGTAATCCCAGCACTCGGGAGGCTGAGGCAGGAGGATCTCAGTGAGTTCAAGGTCAGCCTGGGCTACGAAGAGAGAGCCTGTCTCAGAAAAAATCTGCAAGGACAAGGGACAGGTCCCTTAGAGACAGACCCAGCCACAAAGGCTGATATAGCTTCATTCCAACTCCTCCATTTAGACCTCAGTGGGCAAAAGGAAGGTGGCCTTGGCAGCAATTATCTGAGAGCACTTGTGACGAGGAGATGGCACCCTCTGTATCAAACACCCCACCCAGATTACCCCCCCTGGAGCAGAACACAGTTCGTTGAGGGCGCTGGGTTTTGCCGCACGGCTCATTTGTTTGCTCAAAGCCCAGGTAGCCACTGAGCTCTGGAACAGTTTCCGGGGACTGCTCGGAGCCCACTTTCCCTCAGAAGAACCCAACCAAGCCAGCTGGGGCAGCAGCAGCAAACTGTGTCGGCAGGCTGGAGGGGACGGGGCTGCGAGGGGCCCAAGTGGAGCGCGGCAGCTCTTCAGGAAGCTCTGTTTGGCGTCTGCCCTGGCAGCCACTCACCACGATGCCCAACGCTACGATTTCCGGGATCCGCCTCTGAGAGGGCAGAGTGAGGGGACACACGTGCAAGGTGGGCGTAAGTACTTCACTGTTTAAGCAGGGCGATGGGCTCGCAGCGTCTGTTGTACCATTTACTCTATTTTAGAACACGTATTTTGAGTGGGGATTATGACACACATCTATATATAATCCCTGCGTGCCAGAGGCTGAGGCAGGTGGACTGCCATGAGTTTGATCGCAGCTTGTGGTACATAGCTGCCTTTGAGGCCAGCCCTAGAGTACGTAGTAAGACCCTGTCTCAAAATCACAAAAAAGGCCAGATGCGGTAGTGCATGCCTATACTTCCAGCACTCAGGAGGCTGAGGCAAGAGGGTCGCTCTAAGTTCAAGACCAGCGGGGGCTACAAAGTGATTCTAAAGCCAGCCTGGAATAGATAATGCAATCCTTTGCAAAAAAAAAAAAAAAAAAAAAAAAAAAAAAAAAAAAAAAAAAAAAAAGTAAAAGATAAAGATAAAAGCATGGGGCTGGGGATATCGCTCAGCGGCACAGCACCTTCCTGCAAGTGCAAGGTTGTGAATTCGATTCCCAGTACCAAAAAAAAGATAAAAGCATACTTTGCATAGACGAGATGTTTGAAATTCTGTTAAAAATAAGTGGTAACAATCAGTGAGGTGGTTCCCACAGAGCACTGTGTCCCCACTGTCTCCCCGGGTTTCGCCCCTTTCACCTAGGCTCTAGGGGCTGGAGTCACTGGAGTCACTGGAGTCACTCACTGACCCTTGTGAAAGGAGTGCAACTCTTTGAACCCTTCTGGCTCTGTGATCCTCTCCCCCTGGACCAGGGCAGCGGTTGGCCAACGACAGCCTGCCGGCCAAGCCGGCCCTGCCTGCTGCTGCAGGCCGTGTCAGCGGGACACAGTGCGGCCACAGGGACATCACAGCTGCTCTCGAGCGGGCGCGGCAGAGGTGAGCAACCACGGCAGAGGGCCTGGTGCCCAAACCTAGAACCTTTACTGTCTGATCTCTAAAAAGAAAAAGCCTGCTCCCTCCCGTTCTGGAAGACTGAAGTGAGAGGCGGGCTCGGGGGTGCCCTCCTTCTTCCCACAGCAGTAAGCTTTCTCTTCCACGTTCCTGGGAAAGACAGAGCTACTTCTTTTGCCCATGAAAAAAGACGGAAATTCTGAGAATAGAAAGGGTTTACTGGCTCCGGGAGATTGATGTCCATGTCTTGATCAGGTACAACATCAGGTACTGCACATGCTAAGTAATTACACCTACCGACCTGCAAGTAGGTGCAAAAGGTCTGCTGAATACCTACAGTGAATGTTCTAGAACCCTGAACTTTGTGGAGAATTAGGCAGTAGGAAGCCTAGCATGTGGCACCTTCCTGCAATCTCAAGTTCAAGGCCACCCTGAGTGAGACCCTAATGCAAAAGAAAAAATAAAAAGGGCTGGGCTGTGGCTCAGTGGAGCGGCCTGGGTTCAGTCCCCAGCAGTGGGGAAGAGGGCAACGCAGTTCAAGCTTTGGGGCTGACCAGGTTTTGAAGGGAGGGACCACCAGCACCTATGTGTGTGCCTGTGGTACCAGCACTCTGGGAGGCTGAGGCAGGATGATTGCAAGTTCAAGCCCAGCCTGGGCAACTTAAAGACTCAGCAAGACCCTGTCTCAAAAAATTTTTAAAAACAGGGAAGGAGGCTAGGCATGTAGCTCAGCATGGGGCCCCTGGGTTTCATCTCCAGTATCACAAAAGGAAGGAAGGAAGGAAGGAAGGAAGGAAGGAAGGAAGGAAGGAAGGAAGGAAAGGAAGGAAAGGAAGGAAGGAAGGAAGGAAGAAAGAAAGAAAGAAAGAAAGAAAGAAAGAAAGAAAGACAAAAAGAGAGAAAGAGAGAAGAAAGACAGAAAGAGAGAAAGAGAAAGAGCGAGTAAAAGAAAGCATGGGTCCCGGCCAGCGCAGCAACTTACTCCAGGGGAGTTACGTGTTCTATGGATGGATAAAATGCTGAGAAACGGTCAGCTTGGCCGGGGACAGGGAGGGTGAGGGGAGCCACAGCAGCCAGTGGGTCCCAACGGCCCTCCGAGGTCATCTGTCCTCAGGGTCTTCCCTTCCACGCGGGGAAAGTCACATCTTCCTTGGCATGAATCGTATCGAGGGGAGACACGCCAGTGCTGGTGGTTCACACCTGTGAGCCCCGCGCTCGGGGAGGCTGAGGCCGGACGACTGTAAGTTTAAACCCAGCCCGGGCTGTGTAGCAAGACGCTGTCTCAAAACGCAAAGGCGGGGCTGGGGCCCAGTGCCAAGGCGGTGGGTCCATGCCTGGGGCCATGTGGCTTGCAGCCCTCGCAGAAAGCACAGCGAGAGCGCTTCCTGGAGCTCAGAGCTTCACTCAGGGTGTGCGGGACCCGGGGACCGGGTGAGTGCACCCCGGCTCTTGGAAAGGAGGCTCGGGAAGAGCTAGGGAGGAGACGGGCGAGCCTCAGGGCTGGGGAGCAGGTGCTGGTTTCTGTCAGCTCTGACATCCTTCCTTACGCGCGCGCACCGTCCTTTCCTCCCACGCCCACCACACGTGTCCTTCTCAGCACGGCACTGCCAGGGAGGCCTCGAGGGGATTAGAAGCCTGGCAGTGCCAGACCGCTGTGCGCACCCATGGTCCCAGCTGCTCAGGGCACGGGAGGAGGACTGCTCGAGCCCAGGGACCCAGGGCCAGCCTGGGCCACAAGAGGCCCTCTCTCAACGAGAATCAAAACGAAACAGGAGGAGAGAAAGCGTGGCAGAGAGGCCACGCCGCCTGGGAAGCCAGGAAGCGCCACCTGCGGAGGCCTTGGGGAGGCGCAGCACAAGGAGGGCCGCGGGCCAAGCTGGGGCAGGGTGGCCGCCACCCGCACACGGCAACCCTGCGGCCCGCCTGGCGGCTGCAAGCTCAGCCAAAGCACTGGCACTCGGGCCACTCACCTGCCACGGCGGAAATGTTAACGTTCAGCCTTTTCCAGTTTCAGGGCATTTTAAGGGGGAAAAAGGCCAATCAACTCCTGTTTTGGCAGCGGAGGGGGCAGCGTCTCTCAAGCCGGAGCCAGGCATCCGGGGCGCCGGCAGCGCGCGTTCCTATGTGCACGGGGGCAGTGCGCCCGGAACCACCTGGTGACGTGGGGCAGGAACATGGGGGGCTCCGCGTTCCCCGCGTCCTTCCTGAGCCCGGGACCCTCAGAGCCCCTCAGAGACAGAGCCCAGAGACAGCAGAGACCCAGCACCTGAGCAGGCGGCAGGGGCAGGGGCAGAGGGCCGAGGCCGAGGGGCACGGCCGCGGCAGGGGCAGGGGCAGAGTCTGCTCCCGCAGTCCTCTCACCAGCCAGGCCCCGGCGCCCGTGCACCAGAGGCGCACCATGGCTCCTCCAGGCGCTGAGACACCCCCCACCAAAGGCAGAGCCCACCGAGCCAAGGGCCAGAGGTCGGGTGCTGCAGGGACGGGGAGATGACTTGTGGGGCATCCCCAGAGCCTTCAAGTAAGCGTGTGCGGCTGAGGCAGGGCTCTCTCCCGGCCCTGCTCCGAGGGTACGTTGGGAGCCCACGCCACTGTCCCCCAGGGCTCGGCGCCCAGACTGAGCTGAGACCGCTCCAGATGCCGGGTCACCGCTGGAGGCCAGGCGACCCTGGAGTCCAAGCCAGGCTCCTGGGTCCTCAGGCTGCAGCTCCGCCAGCCACCCCTCCCCGGCTTCCCCGAGCCACAGCGGGGCACCGCTTCCCAAGCCACCTGCCACCCACAGCCAGGCCCCTCGCTTACCTCGAGAGATGGTCCCTCCAGGGGCGGGGGTGACACACATAGGGGGGAGGCGGGGTGGTGGGAGCTTGCACTGACGCTGCCTGTGTTGGGCCCGATCTGGGGAGAGAGGGGGCGTCAGGGACAGGTTCTCACCTCGCACAGTGCAACGCCTGCAGGGCCCCCCGGCACCCCTGGGGAGCTCTGTGCAGGTTCCGAGGCACAGGGACAGCGACACCACACCAGGAAATGGCAACTGTCTTAAACAGACGCGACATGTGACAGCACTGTAGAGGTCACTTCCCAGTTCTCAAAAAGCCATCAAGGGTCAAGGATATAGCTCAGCAGTACAAGTACGTGCCTGGCAAGCATAAGATCTTGAGTTCAATTCCTGATACAAAAAAAAAAAAAAAAAAAAAACCCACAACCCAAAAGCCATCAAACTCTGCCTGGTATGGAAGTTCGTGCCTGTAATCCCAGCACTCCGCAGGCTGAGACAGGAGGATTACCCTGAATTTGAGAGCAGCCTGCCTATGCGCTGGGTTTAAGGCCAGCCTACATCATAGGTTTAAGGCTAGCCTACGTGTAGCTCTTCTGAGCTACATCACAAGACGCTGTCTCCAAACAAAACCAAGTCACCAGACTCCCTGTCCCCTCAGCGACCTCTGGAAGTTAACACGGCTGCAGTGCGCTTCTCCACAGCCTAAAGTCACACGCACTGCACAGGACAGCGGCTGAAGGCTGAAAGCCACAGCGCCATGGAAGCCCATGCGACGGCCCCTTCCACACACGGTGACCATCCGAGCTGCCCGCCTTGGCCGCCAACCTCAGAGTTTGCTTTCCCCCTAAGGACAGAGCAAGACTAACTGATCACTGGGGTCCCGCCTGACAGACTCACACTTCGCTAGAGCTCTCTCTCTTGCTAACAGAGAACCTGAGCCCGGCATCGTGGTGCACACCTGTAAGGTCAGCACTTGAGAGGCCGAGGCAGGAGGACTGCAAGTGCAAGGCCAGCCTGGGCTATGTACCAAGACCTTTTCTTCCAACAAAAAGAGAAAGCTAACTTGCCATTTCTAATATTTCCATTCATTTGAAGACTAAACCCTATTTATCAGTGTTCTACAAATACCATTTTTAAGAAGCTCCAAGCCGGGCATGGTGGCATATACCTGAAGTCCCAGCACTCAAGAGACCAGCAGGAGAATTGCTCTGAATTTGGGGCCAGCTGAGGGTACACAGTGACCCTGTCTCAGAAAAACAAAACAACAGCTCCAGAAAAACCTGAGAGCTGAAGTGAAACTCCAACATTTGCCAAGTCTCCCATGGGGAGGTAGAAACACATGTGAGGAAAATCAAGGCCTTCTACACCCTCTGAACACTGAGAATATCAGACTCACTAGTCCAGAGAAAAGATACACAAGTTCTTTGCTCTTTGCCCGGCTGGTTTCCATATAACAAATGGGAGGAAAAAAATAAAGAAATAACGAGAAAAGCCAGGCGTGGTGGTGCATAGCTGTACTCCCAAGGCCAGTCTAAACTATATAGTGAGATTCTATCTCAAAAACATAAAAATAAAAAAAAATTTTAAAAGGAGAGGCGTGACAGCCAGGCATGGTGGTGCACGTCTGTAATCCTAGCACTCAGGAGGCTGAGGCAGGAGGATCCCTGTGAGTTCGAGGCCAGCCTGGGCTACAAAGTGAGCTCAAGGCCAGCCTGAACTGCATAGCAAGACCCTGTCTCAAGAAGACCAAAAAAAAAGAAAAAAAGAGAGAGAGAGAGGAGTGGAGAGACAGCCACATATACACGGCCCTAGAAAATCTGCCTGTTCTGCTCATTTCTATAATGCAAAGTGGCTCAAAGCCAATACTAAGTAGGAGAATGAGATCAGTAAAACCTAAAAACTACTGATGGGCCTGGTGGTACACACCTGTAATCCCAGCTGCTTGGGAGGCTGAGGCAGGAGGATCACAAGTTCAAGGCTAGTCTGAGTAAATTATTATTATTTTTCAGGCAGGGTCTTGCTATGTATTCTAGGCAGCCCTTGAACTCACTATGCAGCCCAAGCTGGCCTCCAACTCACAATTCTCCTGCCTCAGCCTCCTGAGTGCAGTGATTACAGTATGTATTACAGGTATCTTTATTTTTGTTTTTATTTTTTTGGTACTGGGAATCAAACTCAGGACCTTGAGCTTACCAGACAACGCTATGCCGCTGAGCTACATCCCTGGCCCTATTTTTATTTTTTATTTTTTGAAGTCTGGGCAAGAGAGACCTTGCCTCAAAACAAAAAATAAATAGGCTCACTCAGAAGGCTGGGGCAAAAGGGTCACCAGTTCAAGGTTGACCTGGACTATATAGTGCTATCTCAAAAAAACAAAACAAAGCAAACAGTCCCAGAAACAACAGTGTTAAGGAGACACACAGCAGGCTGCCGGTGCCGTGCAGGTTACGTTCTGCCTCAGAGCTGGGAACCATGAAGCAGAGTACTGAAGGCAGGAACCTCTGACCAGCGGGTTTCTCTGAGACCGTCAAGTACTAGAGCTCGATGTTTACCTGTGCAGAGAGCAGCCTGAAGTCAGGCCATGCCACACCCCGAAGCTCCTGAGCAACGCGGGCTGTGATCTGCCACAGGGCCTGGCAGCGGTTTAAGCTCTTTCTGTGCATTCACTCAGCCACCCTGGGAGTGACCCTGTGACTTCTTACACTGAACTCCAGAGCAAAATGGGCACAGACTCTTCACCCGCCCAGCCCTGCCCCTGCCCCCAGCAAGGAAAGGGACAGAGCTGGGCTGTGACCCACACACTGAAGTCCAGGGCTTTGGCTCAGGAAGCCTGGTGCTGCTCCCACACAACGAAGCCCACGCGATGTTGTGGCTGAAGCAGCGCCACCCCCACCCGAGGAAGTCCGTCACAAGCTTGGCACAGGAGGCCTGCTCGGGCCCAGAGCCTGTCACGGCAGAGAGGAAAGAGCAGAGGGACAAGGAAGGCCGTGCTTTCACGAGGCTCTCCCTGTCCCCACAAAGCAGCCCTGTTCACTCTGGGCCGCCGTCACTGGGACTGCTGCCACTCTTACACAGGGCCGACGGCACAGCCCACTGGGGACTGAGGGCACACAAAGCAATTAAGGAAGACTGAAGTGTTCAGCCCAGAGAGCTGTGCTGTCATATAAACCCCAACTTCAGTCTTTCCCTTCAGTTAGCCAAAAACAAAACAAAACTCAGAGAACAACAAAACAAAACAAAAACTGATTAAAAAAATCCAGCTAGATGTGATGATGCACACCTATAATTCCAACGCTGTGGGAGGCTGAGACAGAATGGTTAAGTTTGAGCCCAATTTGGGCAATTTAGTGAGGCTCTGTTTTTTTTGTTGTTTTGATTGTTTTTTTTTTTTGGTTTTCCTCCAGTACCGGGAACTGAACTCACGACCTTGCGCTTGCCAGGCAGGCGCTTTTGCCGCTGAGCTAAATCCCCAGCCGTTTTGATTGTTTTTGAGACAGGGTCTCACTATGTAGTCCAGGCTGGCATTGAACTTGTTGTGTACCTCAGCTGGCCTCAAACTTGTGGTGATCCTCCTGCCTCAGCCTCACAAGTGCTGGGACTACAAGTGTACACTATTTATTATTTGAGACTATTTTCAAATAATAAATAACTAAAAGATGTATCTCTGTGCAAAGGACCTGAATTCAATCCTCAGTATCACTGAAAGAATAAATACCAATAGCTGGGCATGGTCAAGCACAACTGTAATCCCAGCACTTGGAAGACAGAAGCAGAACTGCCAAGAGTTTGAGGCCAACCTGGGCTACATAGTGAGCTCAAGGTCATCCTAAACTACATACCAGGACCCTGTCTCAAAAAAACAAAATAAGCCAGGCGCAGTGGAGCACGCCTGTAATCCCAGCACTTGGGAGGCTGAGGCAGGAGGATCGTTATGAGTTTGAGACCAGCCTGGGCTACAAAGTGAGCTCAAGGCTAGCCTGAGCTGCATATCGAGACACTGTCTCAAAAAGACAAAAAGGGGATGGGGATTTAGCTCAGTGGCACAGTGCCTGCCTAGCAAGCACGAGGTCGTGAGTTCGATTCCTGGTACCGGAAAAAAACCAAAACAAACAAACAAAAGATCAAAAAGACAAAAATAAATAAATGAATAGAATAGAATTGACTAGTAATAACAAAAACAAGAAATAACAGGATGATAAAAATTAGCTTTAAAAAAAAATGAAATTAGCTTTCAAGCACTAAGAAAAGATATGGAGCTTAGAACATGCTTATAATCCCAGCACTCTGAAGGCTGAGGCAAGAAGATTCCAAATTCAAGCCCAGCCTAGGCAACTTAACAAGTCCCTGTCTCAAAAATAAAGAAGTATGAAGGCTCTGGCTCAATCCCCAGCACCACAAAAAACAAAGACAACAGGGGGACTGAAGAGGAGCGCAGAGGCAGGCAGAGGCCGCGGGGGCGCTGGGACATTGCGCTTGCAGCCCTCCCTCCAGCCCCGTTCAGTGGGCTCCAGAAGCCACTTGCAGGAGTTCCCAGGGATCTAGGCACATACTGTGGAGAGGAGACACAGCTGCCAGGAGCCACTTTATCTGAAGTTATGGAAGTTCTGTTCTGGTTCTTTTTGTCACATAGCTTCAATACAGTGACAGGCTTCGCACCCTTCATTCTCTGTAGATTTCTGTCTTAGGAAACAAACCCTGAGGACCTGGCCCTTCGCACCCACACCACAACATCTCTTCCTGTATGCAGGAAGCCACGCCAGGCGCCACAATGCTAGGGACCAACCACAGCTCCACTGCTTCATCTCTTTGAGGCTGCTAGTTTTTAAGACTTTCCACGTTTCTATGATCACTAGTTGTTATGGTTTATACCTAGATGTCCTCCCAAAGCCTCATGCCCTCACAGGTGGGGCTTTTGGGAGGTGACTGGATCACAAGGGTATAACACTCAGCCGTGGATTAGTCCACTGACAGCGTGGTGAAGCCTGGTCAGAGGAGGTGGGTCACTGAGAGCACAGTCTGTCTCCTTCCTCCCCCCTTGATCCCTCTCTGCTTCCTGTCTGCCATGCGGTGAGCTGCTTCTCCTCTGCCAGGCCCCTCTGCCATGTCGCC